CCCAGTGACCACCAGTGACCACCAGTGACCCCCAGTGACCACCAGTGACCACCAGTGACCACCAGTGACCACCAGTGACCCCCACTGACCCCCAGTGACCACCAGTGACCGGTGGCCCGGGCTCTCCGGCCATCACCTACTAGTTCTTGTACTTGACGAAGAACTCCTCGGACTCCACCAACTGTCCCGACGGCAGCTGAGGACCACGAGGATGAGGAGGATGACGAAGATCAGGAGGGTGAGGAAGGCCAGCAGGACCCCCCCCGGCCCCCCCCCCCCCCACCGCTGACCACCGGCCTCACCTCCTTCTTGACCACGCGCATGGACAGGACCTTGTCCACGATGGCCGCGTCCTCCTCGCTCGGGTTCTCCTGCCGGACGAGGAGGAGGAGGAGGAGGGTGAGGAGGGGAGGAAGGCCCGGGGGGGGGGAGGAGCAAGGGGGCGGAGAAGGTGAGGAGGATGATGGAGATGATGGGATGGGGATGAAGGCCAGGGGGGCAGAGAAGGTGAGGAAGATGATGGAGAAGGTGAAGAACCTCAAGATGGTGAGGAAGACGATGGGGATGAAGGCCACAGGGGTGGAAAAGGTGAGGAAGATGATGGAGACGATGGGAAGGGGATGGGGATGAAGGTCAGGGAGATGGAGAAGATGAGGAAGATGACGGAGGACGCGAAGAACCTCAGGATGGTGAGGAAGATGATGGGGATGAAGGCCACGGGGTGGAGAAGATGAGGAAGATGATGGAGGAGCTGAAGAACCTCAAGGAGATGGTGATGAAGATGACGGTGATGAAGACGATGGGAAGGGGATGAAGATGAAGGTCAGGGAGACGGAGAAGGTGAGGAAGATGATGGGGATGAAGGCCACGGGGTGGAGAAGATGAGGAAGATGATGGAGGAGCTGAAGAACCTCAAGGAGATGGTGATGAAGATGATGGCGACCAAGAAAATGATGAAGATGATGGGAACGGGATGGGGATGAAGGTCATGGAGATGGAGAAGATGAGGAAGATGATGGAGGAGCTGAAGAACCTCAAGGAGATGGTGATGAAGATGATGGTGACCAAGAAGACGATGGGAACAGGATGAAGATGAAGGTCATGGAGATGAAGAAGGTGAGGAAGATGATGGACGAGGCAAAGAACCTCAAGATGGCGATGAAGATGATGGGGATGAGATGAGGATGAAGATCACAAAAAAGGAGAAGATGATGAAGGTGATGGGAAGGGGATGAAGGTTACGGAGATGAAGACGGTGAGGAAGATGATGGATGAGGTAAACAACCTTGAGATGGTGATGAAGATGATGGGAATGGGATGGGGATGAAGGTCACCAAGATGGAGAAGATGATGAAGACGACGGGATCAGGATGGGGATGAAGGTCATGGAGATGGAGAAGGTGAGGAAGACGATGGATGAGATGAACGACCTTGAGATGGTGATGAAGATGATGGGAATGGGATGGGGATGAAGGTCACCAAGATGGAGAAGGTGAGGAAGATGATGGAGGAGGTGAAGAACCTCAAGGAGACGGTGACAAAGATGACGGGAACAGGACAGGGATGAAGGTCCCAAGAGTGGAGAAGGTGAGGAAGATGACGGATGAGCTGAAGAACCTCAAGGAAATGATGGTGAAGATGACGGTGATGAAGACGATGAAGATGACGGGAAGGGGATGGGGATGAACGTCACGAAGATGGAGAAGGTGAGGAAGACGACGGATGAGCTGAAGAACCTCAAGGAAACGGCGATGAAGACGATGAGAACCGAGGGAACGATGAAGATGACGGGAAGGGGATGAAGATGAAGGTGATGGCGATGGAGAAGGTGAGGAAGATGACGGACAAGGCGAAGCTCCTCAAGGAGACGGCGACGAAGATGACGGGGACCGAGAAAATGAGGAAGATGACGGGAAGGGGACGAAGAAGACACCGAGGAGGAGGAGGAGGAGGAGGAGGAGGAGGAAGGCCACCCACCACGAAGAACTGCATGGAGGGCAGCGCGTCGCCGTCGGGCTCGGGGGGCGGCGGCGCCGGCGGCTGCTCCGGCCGCGCCGGCCCCGTCACGTCCAGCTCCTCGTCCTCCTCGTCGTCCGTGATCTTGATGTCCAGGTCCTCCGTGTACTTCTTGCGCTTCACCTGCCGGTTCGAGCGCCGCTTCTGCGGGATTGGCCGGCTCAGACCACGCCCACCCCGCGGACACGCCCCCGCAGGTGACCACGCCCACCCCCGGCCGGACACCTGGACGCCGGCGTCGTCGTCGCGGCGCGGGGACGGCGCCGGGAGGAGCTCGGAGTCGGAGTTGTCGGAGGACGCGTTGCGCTTGCGCTTCTTGCCCACCACCGGCGTGATGGTGCTGGGGAAACCGAGGCACCGCGGTCACCGCCGGGCACGGCCACCGACGGCCAGCGGCCACCGCGGCCGGAGAACCCGGCTGGGCCACCACGGAGGGCAAGGGCTGGGGGTGACCACCATGGCCAAGGTTGGGTGTCCATCGTGGCCAAGGTTGGGTGACCGTTATGACCAAGTGACCACCATGGCCAAGGTTGGGCGACCACCGTGGTCAGGGTTGGGTGACCACCATGACCAAGGTTTGGTGACCATTGACTAACATGGTCAAGGTTTGGGTGACCATTACGGTCAAGTGACCACCATGGCCAAGGTTTGGTGACCACCATGGCCAAGGTTGGGTGACCACCACAACTGAGATCAGGTGACCACCATGGCCAAGGCTGGGTGACCATCATGGTCAAGTGACCACCATGGCCAAGGTTGGGTGACCACCACAACTGAGATCAGGTGACCACCACGGCCAAGGTTTGGTGACCACCAAAACCAAGGCTGTGACCATTATGGTCAATTGACCACCATGGTCAAGGTTGGGTGACCACCATGGCCAAGGCTGGGTGACCATCATGGCCAAGTGACCACCATGACCAAGGTTTGGTGACCACCACAACCATGGTTGGATGACCATCAAGGCCATGTCCGGTTGGCCACCAAGACCGAGGTTGGGTGACCACCAAACCTATGGTTGACCACCATACCTATCAAGCCTTGATAACCACCAAGCCAAAATCAAAACCAAGCTCTGCTGACCATCAAACCCATGGCTGACCACAACCTCCACCACCATCTGCTGACCACCAGCATCACCTGATGATCACCACCACCATCTGCTGACCCCCACCATCTGCTGACCCCCAAACCCATGGCTGACCACCACCATCTGCTGACCACCACCACCACTCGTGACCCCCAAACCCACAGTCGACCCTCACCACCACCTGATGACCCCCACCACCATCTGATGACCACCAAACCCATGGCTGACCACCACCATCTGCTGACCACCACCACCACTCGTGACCCCCAAACCCACAGCCAACCCTCACCACTGTCTGATGACCACCACCACCACCTGCTGACCCCCAAACCCATGGCTGACCACCACCATCTGCTGACCCCCCCCACCACTCGTGACCCCCAAACCCACAGCCAACCCTCACCACTGTCTGATGACCACCACCACCACCTGCTGACCCCCAAACCCATGGCTGACCACCACCATCTGCTGACCCCCCCCACCACTCGTGACCCCCAAACCCACAGCCAACCCTCACCACTGTCTGATGACCACCACCACCACCTGCTGACCCCCAAACCCAGGGCTGACCACAACCTCCACCACCATCCGCTGACCACCAGCATCACCTGCTGACCCCCACCACCATCTAATGACCACCAAACCCATGGCTGACCAC